GTACTTTTTCAATTAAATACATTAGTTACACAGTATAAAAATGATCATCACTTTATATCACGTTTAGTGATAGTATCAAAAGTCCACTATGCTCATAGAAATACGATATTAAACAAAACCATTAAATAATAATACTTTGATGATTAGCACAGCTGCCAGAATTTGCAAAATGTCTGGAAAATTTTCCTCGATGTCTGGCACCTGTATCAAATCTCCATGTCCAATACAGCACACGTAACCTTTAGGATTGTCGAGAAAAATTGTCATCATCATTGATGGTAAGCATCTTGAAATTTATTTACACTAGTTACACTACAATTATAATACAGAAAATTGCTTGTCTGCATGGGTGATTCCAACTGTTTGTAGTTTCTTGCACAATTCTTTATCCCAGTCTACTTTTTTCATGAGCTTTAACAACATATCCTTTAAACATTTTGGTGATTTAACACATGTTTCCTTCAGGAATTTCATCCCATGATCATCAAACCACAACTTTCCCGCTTCGCCAATACCATATTCATCACGCTCACCATTTCCAATTCGTCTCAAGATCCAATCGCCTCGGTGCCCGAACTTTCTCCAAGTGTTCGTATCCGTCCTATGCGCATTCTTCCGCTCAGCATTCGCGGTGCTAGTGCTTTCACCTCTTTAAAGATGACAGTCACACAAAAACAAATTAAAAGAGATAATGAATAAATAGTTAAAGTATGAATGCATACCGAATAACAGATGTCTCCTTCAAACCTGAAAAACCTTGATCAATGATGACATCCCACACATGACAGTTGTACCATGCCTCCAAATACTGGCCTTTTAATCCTCCATACTCAATTTCCCTAACTCTGGGAAACAATTGTTTAGTTGAAATACTTCGATTTATGTAAATAAATTTGAATATATGATAACCTACAGCGCGCATAACGCAAATCTAATGTAATCTAGATCATGGTAAGCATCTTGATCATATTTCATATCAAACCTTTCATCTGGTTCAATAATTGTCTTACGTATCTCCTTTAGCGTTTTCTGACAAGAAGAATCAATTCAATGTATATATATGCATTGTTTGCCAATTAATATATAAAATAACCTTACCTTATCATTAAATTTGATAAGATAACCTATAATGCCTTATGACAGCTGTGGTATTTCTGGAACACATTCATTCTCCGTTTCTAGACGTTCAGCTTCACTAAAATGCTGTTTTATTAACTCATCATCCACATCCACAATAAATGAGTGGACTCCACTAGAAATACAGATCTCCAATCATACATTTTCCTAATAAATATCAGCAGATGAAATCACTAGCTCACTGTTCAAATTCCAGACCACGGCTAAGTTTATATAGTTCCTCTTCAACCACTCTACCACTTGTCTCCAACTTCCACATATTTTCCTTCTTCATTGACAAAAAGGCGATCTTGATTTCTTTGTGATTTGCATTGTTCAAACACCAAGGACCCATCTATTGCTACTTGCTAGCTTTCACGAATATTATATCTAAAATCGGAAATGTCAACAAAGAATTATATCTTATTCTCCTTGAAATTGTCTTCATTCACGGAAGACTTTTCAAAAAAAGGATTAAATACAGAAATTTCATAGAGTGAATCTTCCTCTTCCTCCTTTTTTTCCTGTTGTTCTGGTGAATGGTACCTGACATGCAACATATTTTATCTTTTGGGTGTACAGGGCTCATAATTAGCAATCTCTTGTTCTGCTTTATACAGCAGGGTTGGCTAATTGATTGTTCCATTGATAACTGATGGATTTTGAACTGGTACGTTGCCATTAATAAAATACCAAATATGGTTAAATTGTTACATTAATGGACCCAATGGACCATCAATAGACCATCAATAGACCGCAAATTTGCCAATCCTGTTATACAAAGACTCAGCCTAGTCGAATGTAAACTTAATCAGAAAAATAAACGATAATGTGCTTTCTCATATGATAGAAATATGTCTACTGTTTCTTATTAGTATTAGCTTTTGACAAAATATTATTCGGTAATGTTGAAAAATTTTTTTGTACCTGGCTATTCTCCACTATGCAAACTGCTGGATCTTGAGATTTCTGCTTTTATCTTCAACATTTTGCAACACGTTTTTTAGTGATTTTATTGCATTATTAGTTGCTATGGTATGTACTTGGTGTTTTTCTTTGTTGGAATCTCTCAACACACGTTTAACATAGTCCAACTATTTCATGTGGTAAACTCAGTTTCTTGCTAAAATATAAAAACCTTATAAAAGTTAGTTTAACAAGCCTGCATATTTTCTATTTCCCCATTATAGCGTTCTTTATTAATCAACATCCAGAAGTTGCTTAAAATTTCAGAGGACTTCTTGTTCTTTTTAGAAAACAGACCATTAATATAAAGCTAGATAGAAACCACTATACTATTAAAGAATCAAACATTGATATAAGTGGACCATAACATGGTACGTAGCCTGACAACCAGTTTGGATGTATCCATCCGGTTGTATTATGGCAATAATACATAGTCTACTCAGAAAAGACATAACTCCATTCTCACCAGCCAATGCGTAATCAGCTTGCTACCTGAGGTTTGTCAATACGTCACGTGATTGTCACAATGACCAGTTTATTTTATTCTTGAAAAAAACTTTTATTACTACTTGTACTTGCCATGGCATTTGTGATTCGCTCAACATCATGGTGGACAGGATTAAAAGATTCTTTGAGATGTACATGTTAAAAAATTTTCAGACTTTTACATAAAACGCGATTGAAAAAAAAACAGCATAATAACACAGTCTGGGATTATACCATAAATGGAAATTAATTCTAGAATAATTTAGAGTCTCACCTCGAAATTTAATTGGCCTTTGACGATCTTTTCTACAAAAAAAATCAAAAAAATCATGACATTTTTGTAAGCCCAAAAAAAGGTACACATAATATAGTAGTACCATATTTTTATAATATCAACAAGCTCGTCTAAATACACAGTTTAATAATCCACTTTAATCCACAAAGGTTTACATATTAGTTTTTTTTTTAATAAGAGACATGTTTTGGCTTGAATTTTCAGTTATTTATTATTTTTTTATATTTTTTTCGTGTGTAACTATCAAATTCCTACGACTATGATGTCAAATACAAGACAACTAGCCAAAACTTTACCATGCTTGTTTAAAGACATAGTTGATAAATATCCAAAGAGTCAATTACGACCATGTAAAACTGACTCACAAACATGGAAGCATGCATCAGCACCTGCTGCAGTTGAAAGAGTAAATAAATTAGCTAAGTATTTCCCTGAATTATCTTTATTAAATAATTGTTTAGGAAATTGTTCATTATGTATAAATCATTATAATCAAGTTGTTGCTACTGACAATTTTTATCAGAATCTTTTAAATTCAGATCTAAGTTCAGACATATGTTTAATTCAAAAAAAACAAAAGGTTTCGACAAGATATACTGGAGACAGGTTCTATATAGTAATATATAGTAGTATTGTTAAAAAATAGGTGCAAATCAAAAGACAGTATACTGAAAGATAGTATAATTAATAACAGTTAACTTATGAACAAGCAACATATGGATCTTTGAGTAATATAATTAGAAATGTTGGTTTATTTTATTTTGCTCACTCATTCATCTATTAATTAACTAAAAGAAAATATGTAACTTCAAAAAAAATATAATGGGAAGCATAACATAGTTAATAGTAGTAGATAATGAATTGTATATAACATCATATTAATATTGTTTTTTTTTCAAAAAAACAGATCTACCAATTAAACAATGGGACTGGATTATTGTACAAAGCATTAATGGTGGTGGTAATAATAATATATCAATTACTGATAACTATTATGGTTATTGTTACTTATGCAAACAAAGTATAACAAAGTATAACTGATTTATTATGGCTTATTGTTAACGTGGTAAGTACTAATATATTATTAAATAATATTTATTGTATAACATTGTATTAACAGGTTTATTATTATGGTTTATTGCCATTATTATGTACACAACCATCAAGGTAAGTAATAATATACATATAATTTATTGTATACATATATAACATTATATTAACGGGTTTATTCATTATTGTGCATGTGACCATCAAGGTAAGTAATATTATATTACTAATAATATTATTTATTGTATACATATATTACATTGTATTAACGGGTTTATTTATTATTATGCATGTGACTGTCAAGGTAAATATAATATATTACTAATAATTCTTATTGTATTAATGGGGTTTATTATTATGGTTTATTGTTACACACGGTAAGTAATAATATATTATTAATAATAATTCTTATTAAATATAACATTGTACTAATATTTCTTTTTTTCCAAAATGGGGTTCACTATTATTGTTACTCACGTGATTATCAAAGCATAATGTAGTAAGTAATAATATATTGTTATTTAATAATTTTTATTATATATATAACATTGTATTAATATTCTTTCTTCCAAAATGGATTCATAGTTAAACAATGGGTTATTTTCATACAACAATTAAAGAAAAAAATTAGTTATTACTTTATCATCATCATTATTATTGCTATGGATAAAATTTATTTGTATTTAAGTTTCTTTTGCCAACTGTATGTTTATTATAAAAATATAAATGGAGGCGGGATCACCACACATCCATTTTTGGTATAATCCCAGACTGTATTTTGTAGCAGACTTTCATGTATATGGTAATAGTAAGTGCAGTGTTGTGCCATTTATGGTTCCAATAAAATTTCATTGGAACATTCTAAATGTGGTTCCAATGAAGTTAACCAATGAAATTCAATTATAGTGTCGTACACACGAATTTTATTGGTTAATATCAATTGAAGATCTACATTGGAACATTCCAATAGCATTACAATGTTCCAATTGCACAACACTGAGTAAATGTAACACGATCTACATTGTAAATCACATGATTAGGCTGTTAAAAAATTCGAATAAAACAACAATCTGATTAAAAAAAATTTCATTTTTTCTTTATAGTCTTTGTAATAATAGTAATAGTTGTAGTTCTGAATTTCGCATATTTAGTGTATACAATACCAAGAACATATGCTAGTACCTTACCAGTACACATCATATCGTACCATATTTTTATAATATCAACAAGCTAGTCTAAATACACAGTTTAATAATCCACTTTAATCCACAAAAGTTTGCATATTAGTTTTTTTTTTAATAAGAGACAATGTTTTGGCTTGAATTTTCAGTTATTTATTATTTTTTTTTTTTATTTTTTTTGTGTGTAATTATAGAAATTATTCAAATTCCTATGACTATGATGTCAAATACAAGACAACTAGCCAAAACTTTGCCATGTTTGTTTAAAGACATAGTTGATAAATATCCAAAGAGTCAATTACGACCATGTAAAACTGACTCACAAACATGGAAGCACCTGCTGCAGTTGAAAGTGTAAATAAATTAGCCAAGTATTTCCCTGAATTATCTTTATTAAATAATTGTTTAGGAATTATTCATTATGTATAAATCATTTTAATCAAGTTGTTGCTACTGACAATTTTTATCAGAATCTTTTAAATTCAGTTCTAAGTTCAGACATATGTTTAATTCAAAAAAACAAAAGGTTTCGACAAGATATACTGGAGACAGGTTCTAGTAATAGTAGTATTGTTAAAAAATAGGAGCTAATCAAAAAGACAGCATACCGAAAGACAGTATAATTAATAACAGTTAACTTATGAACAAGCAACATATGGATCTTTGAGTAATATAATTAGAAATGTTGGTTTATTTTATTTTGCTCACTCATTCATCTATTAATTAACTAAAAGAAAATATGTAACTTCAAAAAAAATATAATGGGGAAGCATAACATAGTTAATAGTAGTAGATAATGAATTGTATATAACATCATATTAATATTGTTTTTTTTCAAAAAAAAAACAGATCTACCAATTAAACAATGGGATTGGATTATTGTTCAAAGCATTAATGGTGGTGGTAATAATTATGGCTTATTGTTAACGTGGTAAGTAATAATATATTATTAATAATATTTATTGTATAACATTGTATTAACAGGTTTATTATTATGGTTTATTGCTATTATTATGTACGCGACCATCAAGGTAAGTAATAATATACATATAATTTATTGTATACATATATAACATTATATTAACGGGTTTATTTATTATTGTGCACACGACCATCAAGGTAAGTAATAATATATTACTAATAATATTAATAATAATAATTTATTGTATACATATATTACATTGTATTAACGGGTTTATTTATTATTATGCACGTGACCGTCAAGGTACATATAATATATTACTAATAATTCTTATTGCATCAACGGGGTTTATTACGGTTTATTGTTACGCGTGGTAAGTAATAATATATTATTAATAATAATTCTTATTAAATATATAACATTGTATTAATATTTCTTTTTTTCCAAAATGGGGTTCACTATTATTGTTACGCAGTAGGTAATTATTTAATAATAACATTGTATTAATATTTCTTTCTTCCAAAATGGATTCATAGTTAAACAATGGGTTATTTTCATACAACAATTAAAGAAAAAAATTAGTTATTACTTTATCATCATCATTATTATTGCTATGGATAAAATTTATTTGTATTTAAGTTTCTTTTGCCAACTGTATGTTTATTATAAAAATATAAATGGAGGCGGGATCACCACACATCCATTTTTGGTATAATCCCAGACTGTATTTTGTAGCAGACTTTCATGTATATGGTAATAGTAAGTGCAGTGTTGTGCCATTTATGGTTCCAATAAAATTTCATTGGAACATTCTAAATGTGGTTCCAATGAAGTTAACCAATGAAATTCAATTATAGTGTCGTACACACGAATTTTATTGGTTAATATCAATTGAAGATCTACATTGGAACATTCCAATAGCATTACAATGTTCCAATTGCACAACACTGAGTAAATGTAACACGATCTACATTGTAAATCACATGATTAGGCTGTTAAAAAATTCGAATAAAACAACAATCTGATTAAAAAAAATTTCATTTTTTCTTTATAGTCTTTGTAATAATAGTAATAGTTGTAGTTCTGAATTTCGCATATTTAGTGTATACAATACCAAGAACATATGCTAGTACCTTACCATGCTTATTTGCTTCTTTTCACTTACTCAAATATTCTGAGAACAATTTTAATTGATCTTGGAGATGAGCATCAGAAAGGAACGTATTTTCTTGAATTATATTTATTATCTATTTAAATATATAGATTAACCATCTACAAAGGTATTTTGGTCTGAATTTCTAATTATCGCAAAATATTTATTAAAGCTTGTTTAAAGAATTAGGTAAAAATATTTAGAGAGTAAATTAGTGCTATGTAAGCAAGAAAGAAGAAAGGTGGAGGTATTGTATGAATCAGTAAATACTGTATTTTAAAAATAATACACATTTTAGCTAATAAAATTAATTATTTATAAAAAGAAAATTTTGATTTTATCTTTCCCAAGTAATTTTGAATCTTTTTGATAAATAATTATGCAAATCAAATTAGCGGTAGAAAACTTTAGCCGGCTTATCAAATAATTTACTAGACAAATATTTTTATGATAAAAAAAAAATTCCTTTTAACATTCATTTTTATGTCCGAAATTTTAGTGCAGAATTCAGTGGCATAGACATTTAGTTGAGATGTGTCCATCTGCATTACTTAGAATGACAAAAGAAAAAAACATACATTTGCTCAAAAAAAAAAAATAATACTCATAGCAGGATAAATATAATAATAAAGAAGGCAAATTAAATAGTAATAATGGCAGCGAATTAGGAGATATTAATATAACAACAACATCAATAACAATAACGATAGTAGCAGTAATAATAATACAGCAAGCTTAGTAACATCTAATTAATTTAGCCACCTCATACAATTAATTCAAATACCAACATATATTCATTTGTGCTTGGATCTTTGGTGATTCCAAAGCATGAATTAATTTTTGCTTTTAACTAAAAAGATCAATAATTACAATTATTGTTATAATTAATAAATAAAATTTATAAAAAAATTAATATTAAAAGTTTCGCCTTTTTACAATAACTAAAATTTATCATTTCATTCAAAGTTTGTTGAAACGAGATTACTAATCGCGTCTCAATGAATTTGTATCTTTTCATAAGGTGTAACAAGATTTTTAAAACTCGTTGATTGAAATGCGAATTTAATTATAATTCGCTGGAATGAAGTTCGTTGAAACAAGGGTTCGACTATACTTGAAAAATAGTTTTTTTTGTGCTCAATGGAGTTTTAGAAAAGATATTGGGATTAAGGTTTCTCTCTTTATTAGTAGCCGAAATTGTGGAAAAAATTACTTTTTTATAAGCCCAAACTATTTTTTGTTATTAGCCGAAATTGGGCGAAATTACTTTAAAGTTGTTTAAGTTAAAATAAGTTGATTGGTATAATTTTTTAATGTTCATGTTATAAAAAATGCTGAGAAGCTCAAATTGCCCAAACTAGTTTGGGCCTTGAGAAAACAGTTTGGACCAGAAACCTTAGTTGGGATCATGATCCTGAAATAAGACCTACTGCTCAAGAAACTCATGATTTTTTATAAAGAAACTTATGAAGAAATTGAATTAGCAGAACCTAGAAGGCAAGAAATAATTAGATCAGGAAAATATTTGTCTGATGAAAAAAGTCCTAAATATCATCCAGAAACATTCTATATAACAATAAGTTGCTGTTCAACTCAACAACTAAATCATGGAACTTTCTTTATTTATGTATATTTGTTGTGCATGAAAATGAATCTGCAATTCATACACGTGAAATTCAAATTAGCCAATCAGGACTTCACCAAATTTTATAATAGTGAGTATTAATGCTCTTGTTCGTGATGATAGAATTATTATTTTTCAATTAAAGAAACTAGATATGAACCATCATTGGTAATATAGAGCTTTTTTTACCAGGCATTTTTAATGAAGGTAGGCATGTTATATATATATACATTGAACAATAACCAATATAAAGTTGCATTTGGAACAAATGAGTAGCATAAATATCTATAATATAAATGTTCATATGAACTTTAGGTAGTGGCATAAGTTTGCAAATTAGCCTTAATTGATATGCTCGAGGAATGCCAAAACAAATAAAGCAAGCAAACACTTTTTGTTGCAAATATCTAAATTGCAGCTTCCATAATTCAATAAATTCAATTGAAATAAAGAAAGCAATAATTATCATTCAACAAAAAAAGGTCATTTCAAACTGAAAACATTTTTTGAAATGCATAGATATCCTATCTAATCAGTGATAATATTTTTACTTTAAAAATTTATCCATACATTAAATAAATAATATTGATATTTGAAAAAAAAACTACCCTCTAATTTTGTTTATTTGGTTTATTATGTTTGTTGCATCCCAACTAATTTGTTCATTGTGATTTTGAAAAGTTACACATTTGAGATAATCTATGGCTTGATCATGATCCTTTTCGTAACCATGGGCTCCTTCAAAATAGCAAACACCTAAGAAGTGCAAAGCAACCTCATATCCATTTTCAGCTGCCAATTGTAAATATTTCTTAAATTCTTTAAGGTTTGCTACTTTATCTTTTTCGTAAATGAGGGATGCATAATTATATTGAGCCTTGGCTATACCATTGTCAGCTGCAATTTTATACAATTCAATTGCCTTTTCTTTGTCTTCTTGACTGGCTTTGCCTGTTTCTTCACCATGTTGTAAATAGTATGCTTTCCAATAAATTGCATTATAATTATTAAGTTCAGCATTTTCACAAAAACATTTCCATGCCCTTTGATATTTTCCTCCTTTATAAGCTTTCACTCCTTCATCTAATGGTATGGGAGATTCAAATAAAGTTTTTTTAACAACTTTAAAATCTGAGTCCTTATCAATGTTATGATGTTGAATTTTGTCATTTGAAACTTCATCTTTAGCAATAAATTTAGCTACATATTTAGTATTTTCAAAACATTTCCATGATTCTGCCAATTCATTTTTTATTTCATCAAAAGATGGACGATTATGGGGTGAATGTTCCCAGGCTAACAATGAACAATAATTATAAATTATTAAAATGTTTATTGATGTAATGATTATTACTTTTGTTATCATTTACCTTTATTAATAATTTGAATTAAAACTTGCTGAATTTCAACATTGTGCACTCCAATTTTTATAGTTTCTCTTTGACCACTTTTGACATGTTCACCAATACTAATTGCATTCATTTCTTTATATGGAATTTGTTGATAAGTAAGCTCCCAAAGAAACATTCCAAAGCTGAATGAATGGACAAATTAATAATTAGTTAATGAAATTTTATTTAAAATCAAATCATTTCTGTTCATGTTTACCTAAACATTTCACAATCAAGATTATAAAGTTGAGTTCCTGATTCTATTTTTTCAGGAGCCAACCAAGGAATATAGTCATTTAAATTTGAAATTCTTGAAGTTTCACCAGATAGATTACGACTAAGTTCAAAATTTGAAACTTTTGCATTTCCATCCTCATCAATCTAAAAAGAGTACATGTTGGTTAATGTGTGCTAATGATGTTTTACAAAAAAAAATATAAAACCTACTAATATATTTTCACATTTAACATCATGATGTAAAATTTCACCATTATGCATAAAAAAAAGTCCTCTAATGACATCATATGAAATCTTTAATTTTGTAACCCAGTCAATGTAATGAGTATTGTACAAATCTTTTAAATTGCCCTTTTCAGCCCAGCCAAATATCAAAGCATTATGAGAATTTACATTGGAGATACCATAAAATTTAATGATATATTTACATTGAATAGCATTTAGTATTGCAAGTTTTGCTTGAAATTTTTTTGATTCAGAGGTACCATCATCCTTTGGATAATGTAGAATAGTTTTACATGCCACCTCAACTGTTTTTCTAAGTATTTTTTTAACAACCCTTTTATTTGCACCTCTTACATCTGTATCCTTTCTGTGACTTAATTTTACATCATCTATATTCCTGGGATCAATTTATGCCAATTTCACTATAGGATTAAGTTCCAAATTGTCAGATGACACATATTTAGATAAGTTTTTTATTAAAACTAATTCACTATTCTGCATTGTTGTTTCCAAATTCTAAACAAAATATTTAGATATATATATATATAAATATTCTTAAATGCATTTATAAAAAAATAAAAAAATTGATATCATTTACTTTATACCTCAAATTTTTCGTATATTTTAGCAAAATATTTCTCCATGTTATTGTCTTGTTGTTTCATTGTATGATAACTGGAAAGAATCACATTGAATTGTAAATCTGCACAAGCTCCTTCCAAATTTTTAACATGATCATCATAGCACTTTTTAATGTGGTCAGCATTAAAAAATTTTTTAAATCCTCCATAACTTGAAATATGTTTAATAAAATGTTTAATATTTTTCAAAACAGCTTCAAGCCTATTAAATGCTTTAAAATAACTTTCTTTACGGAAATTTTCTTCATTTGCTTCTTTTTCTCTTTCCATTTGTTTAATGGCTACATGTGCCAATTCAACTCTATGAATTAATGCTATAGAAATTGTCTTATTTTCTTTAATAGTATCATAAAGCCTAATAATTGTTTCACATAAATCACATATTGTTTTAAGTATTGGTACATAATTTGTAAAGGCATCTCCTGTGGACAGTACAAGCAAGGAAACATTTTTTATTGTGTCCATTGTTGTAATATTATCATCTTTATCATCAATACATCTTTTTTTCGGCTTTCCATCATTTATATTAGGTGAAATCTTATCTTTATAATCCATATGTCTTTTTCTATTATTTGGCATTTGTAG